GTAATTCTGATCAACTTTCAGGATACTGATATGTCATAAAACTTGTTCTACTGTTACTCACTAGACTCATTAATTCTAACACTAATGAGGGGAAGGGGAGGGGAGGGATTTTAATGGAAGGAAGGGAAGGGGAGGGGAGGTGTAATTTTATCTTGTTTGGAGGGATTTTGTAGGAGGGAAATAGAGGGAAAATGGTAAACCTCGTTTGGGTAATTAGAACAATAGAGGGGAAAGAAAATATTGTAGAAATGACAATTTTATCGTTAATGATGTAAGAAACAAAATAATAAAATAATTCACATATAAAGGATAATATAGTAATTTTATGTGTTAAATTTTTTCCTCCCCTCCAAATTCCTCCACTTTTGGAGGGGAGCAAAATTGAGGGAGGGGAAGGATTTTGGATTAAAATTTCTCCTCCCCTCCCCTCCTAAGTTACAAACCAAACAAAGGAAAAATAAAAAATTCCCTCCCCTCCCCTCCCCTCCAAATCCCTTGAACCAAACACTACCTAAGGATTTCATGTTGTTTTTCTTTGTGTGTTTTGAACTGTATGTGGCATATAATAGGAACATCATTTAGCTTACCCGCATTTTTGAGTAAAATACGGTTTGTTAATATCATTCAAGTATCTATTCTGTAAGATTTTCTTGCAGTTTCATATACGTCCTTTCACTTTTAAAACCATACTGGAACATTGTTGATGACCCATGAATTGATCATGAATCGATATGTTGTGCTTGCCCTTTCTGTAAAATGTTATTATTCTGAATACTTAGGTCTATATCTTGCTAGTCCACTTACTATTGGGTGGAAACATGCTTTAGGACATATTTCCTTAATTTACTGCTCTTAGCGACTAGTCTTTACCTGTGTGTTATTTATTAGTCAGAAGTTATCTTTGGGAAAGAAATTCATACTGTCTTGCACAGTTGGGCATAGATGAGGCATTTATTGAATTTGACTGGTCTCAATAGTGATCAAAACTAAAAGCAAATTATATTTATAAAGTTGAACGAATTGTTATTACCAATTTAGAAACTTTTATCTAGTCCTCTAATTTTATAAACATCTTACACAGTTTCCAGTTTAGTTGCTTTTTCTGCCAAGTAGGACCTTACAAGCTATATATACACATGAATAGCTGCTTTTTGGGTGAAATATATTTCGAATTTTTCTTCTGGGATGATTTTGAGCAAGTTACTTTGCCTTTTTCTGTAGATATGTCAGCAACACTCCCAAGAAACTACCCCCATCTGTTTTTGACACGTCACCCATTTTGCGAGTTTCTTTATAGTTGTCTTAGGCTACTATAAAAAAAGTTTCAATAGGAAAAAGAAGGAAAGAGAAAAGCTAAGATAGCCTGGCATGAACCAATAGTTTGTAGAAAAAGAAACAAAATCGCCTCTGCTTAATCTGTATGTGGGTACACTATGACTTGATACACAAAAATGCCTGTATCTTAATGCTTTCCCACTTTACTTGTTATCTGTGGCTGTTGAGTAAGCCATATCTCAGTTATGAATTCTGCCTTTTCTGCCACGGTCAAATTCAGATGTTCTTCCCAGGATAAGAAGACGAAAATCAGAGATGCTTAGAGCTCAGTACATTAACGCAAAGGAAATCAGGTATGTTTTCAATTGCAGATTCCTCAACACAATAGCTGGTTTTTCGATTGAAAATCAACCATATTTTCTGAATTATGTTTCATTACTAAGTTGTGCTATTTTGATTTCCACTTTCGTCTTGGGCTCTACTAGAGTATGTGCTGCCACATGGAATGTAGGGGGACGAGTTCCACCTGATGACTTAAATCTTGATGGATGGTTAGACATTGATGAGCCTGCTGATATTTATGTGATTGGGTAAGTAGATTCTGTTTTCCAAAGAAATCCATGTCTGTAACCAACACTTGCTGTATGATCTAACTATATAACCTTTTGCCGGTTCTATAATCAGTACATGCCATTCATATCATCCATAACACATGCTCAGCGGATTGCATTTTATCCTATCAATTGTGCTCCTTATCTCAGTACTCTTACTGAATCCTATTTTTTATCATTTCTAATAATATCCACTCATTTTCCATGTGTCATCCATTGTTGCAGCCTTCAGGAGATAATACCATTAAATGCTGGTAATATATTTGGCGCGGAAGACAATCGTCCAGTCTCCAAATGGGAAAACATAATACGAGAAACCCTGAACCAAGTTCCGCCTGTGAATAAGTTCAAAAGCTTCAGTGATCCTCCTTCCCCGTCAAAATTTAAACCATCTGAAGATGCCCCGAACATCGAAGATGAAATTGCACTTGGATCTGACAGTGATGTTGAGGAGGAAGTTTATCCTTTGAATGAGGAATCAAATGGTGTAGAGGGAATCAAGTACGAGATCTTCAAAGAACAAAAATCTCTATGCGATAGTTTGGATGTCTCCCATGGATTTGATAACTTAACATACTCAGTTGACCAAGAGTTCAAGCTGCAGTTTTCTTCTGCAAACAAACTGGACAAATACAATTCAGAAGCTGGGGACACACAGTATACCAAGAAACTTACCAAAACACTTAGCGGTACAGAAAGGATAGGGCTAAGCTGGCTCGAGCCCTCTCTTCCTCTATTAGCTCATCATGGTTTTGGTATAGCTAATTCCTTCAAACCCTCTAAGTCCTTGAAAGCTTCCAAATCTTTCAACAGATACAGTTCTTTCAAATCAAAAGCGAATGCGGAAAATAGAATGCAATTTGACTTATCTCAGCTTTCCGAACATGACCTTGAATCTCTAATTAAACGGAAGAGAAGGCCACCGTATGTCAGAATCATAAGCAAGCAAATGGTTGGTATCTTTATTACCATATGGGTCCGAAGGAGCTTGCGGAGGCATATTCATAACTTGAATGTGACTACTGTTGGTGTAGGCGTCATGGGTTATATTGGCAACAAGGTTTGTTCTGCATTGTCTGTTTCTTGGTGACATATATGATTATGCATGTGTTCCATTTGGGTCTTAAAATAAATGAGAAACAATAAATCATTTTTTGGTTGCAACAGACTCCAATTACTTCAATTTTATTTAATCATTTGTTTGTTTTATGTTATTTGGCCCTTGTAAGTCATCCTGTAAACTCATGTCTCATCATATAACTTTCAAACCCATTGAAGAAGAGTCCGACTTATCTGTTTCTTTGTTGTTAAGTACACATAGAATACACAAAACATAAATGCATTTTACTTTTTTTATTCAGATAAGAACACATGGTAGTAAATTGATTTTAAGTTTGTTTCATACAAGGGTTACTGTGCTTAATTATAGGCTTTTGATCTCAATTAATTTCTTATAATTAGGAAATTGGTTATGTTGATTTGTGGCAAAAGTTGATATCATTGCTGGAAACTGAGGAGAACAAAATCCAGTCTTAGTTTTTCGTTGAATGATGTTTTATCCTTTGATTATTTATGTGTCCTCTAATTCAGTTACTGTTCAGAAGTTATGTTTTTTTTTTTCTTGTGAGAAATGGAGCGTTAAGAGCATGTTTTTTTGGTTTTGTTTGGATTTTTTGGTTTGGTTTGGTTAATTTTGAACAAGGTTGTATGGTTAGTTATTAGTGGGTATATTAAAAAATATTTAAAATAAAATATTAAAATTGATTTAATGTAAAAGTAGGGGAGAGATGATTTGATGTGATGGTTAGTTAAAATAATGTGAGTGGATGAATAGTGAATTAAGGTTGATGTGGTGTGTATGAATGATTGATTGATATTATTTAATTATATTAATAATATTGATGATTGTGGGGTGGAGTTAAAGTTGAGTTAAGAAAAGTGGTTGAGTTAAAATGTTGGAATTTTTTTGAAAATTTTTATAAACAAACATGCTCTAAGTGTACCACTATTCGTGTTTGGTCTGCTGGAAACATGTCGAGCTGGGGCGTTGATGAGTCCTCATCACCTTATAGCTACTTTTTGATTATGGTAGTTGCTGACCATTATTGTGACCGTGGTGTGAAACATAACTTTAACAGGCAGTTATATAGGCAATAGTATTTTTTCTTATCTTATTAGGTGTGCAATCAATATATCTTCATTACAGCTATACCAATCATAATAATTTCCTAAGAGTGTTTACTATTGTGTAAAGAGAGTGCAGAAGAAATTGAATTTCATGCTTATAGTCTTCTAACATCTTTTGAACTGTGATGGAAAACGGAAGTCTAAATAAGACGATGTAAACATAGAGGGAAAACGAAGGATGCATTATTGTTATTATGTGGTTTGTAGATATTTTATAATTTATTCATACATTTTAATGAGACAGTTTGCCTAAGTATTAACCTATATGAGGAATGAGTCATATAGTCACCTGCTGTTGCTTAGGAGTTTTGATAACTGTGGTATGGCTCACCTCTCAAACAAGTCTTATCATGCTTTTGTTAATAGAATGGCCATTATCCTGTTGGCATGATAGTCGTGAAATATAACCTAAGTGTATTCTTTTTTTTTTTTTTTCCCCCGGCTCTCTCTACCTCTTTCTATAGTTTCATGCATTTCTCTTGTATTGTTTTAAGAAGTTCCGAGATACCAAACTTCTGTTATTTACAGTTTCCTTGTGTCATTCTGGGTTATGCTCAGACCATTTTACCTTCAATAATGGGGGGTATTCTTATCTCTACTACTTGATATTCTTATTCTTATAAAGTTATTAATCAAAAAGTAGATAAGAGAGCCTCAAAGATGCCATATGCTAAGAAACCAAACTATTTGATTGAATATATCCTTCTCTTTTGCTTCAGTACCCACTGTTCTAACTAATTATTTAGCTCTTCCAAGTATGATTTCTTACTCGCGCATTTTAATTTATTCAAGTAGCATAATTTCTTTCTCTTCCGCAGGGATCAATTTCAGTTAGCATGTCTATACATCAAACACTCTTCTGTTTCATTTGTACTCATCTAACATCAGGGGAGAAAACGGCAGATGGAATCAAAAGAAATGTTGATGTGCAAGAAATACATAGACGAACACGCTTCAATTCCATTGTTGGTATGGGCCTTCCTAGAAGCATCTATGACCATGAGTAAGTATTTCCATTCTTCTCTTCCTTTAATCTCCCTTATATATTAATTAAGAATATTGAACTTAAAGAGCTGGCTTGTACTCTTTGGAAGATTATTTGGTATAATCCATGATTCCTATTTGATTTTGGCAACTCTGCTGGGGAATTACCATAAACTTACCTATCATTTTCTTAAATTACTGTATATTACCTTTTCTTTTGTTATTTCATTCATATATTAATTAATATAAATATGCGTTCTTATTTTTAAAAGTTTACAACATTTTTATTTGTATTATATTTTTCATATATCATATATCGTATATCAAATTTGTTTGATTTGATAATACCTTTTATTGCATATATAAAAGTAAAGAATAATTTCATCTATCTTAAGTAGTAAAATGTAAATTTATTTATTGAACAAAGTTGAAAAATATCAAATAAAACTATATATTATTTTATGAAAACAATCATTTTAGTGTATTTTTCTAATAGAGTTGTGAAAAATGTGGAAACTAAATATTAACGTAAAATAAATAATAAGCAATATCCTAATAAATTAAGTCTGGAGATAAATAAAGTATATTGACTACCATTATGATTTTGAGAACATAAACTACAAGTAGATATCACAATTAAATATAATAAAAGTTTTTATATATCATAAAGTTAGTAAATATTGCATTTGTTTATATTAAATTATATTTTAAATTATAAAATATTATAAATTGAAGATATTTGAAGAAGCAATAAAGGAGAGAGACGAACTTTATCTATCTATTCTATACTATTATAAAAGGACGAATGGTTTTGTAAAAATATGAATTGCCTAAAAAACCCTAACTGTAACATATTCTTAACGGCAAATTAGTAATACAGAAATACTCATCCTATCTTATATTTTAGTTAAATAATAAACTACCTAAAATAACTTTACTTTGACATATTTTTAATTGCAAATTAGTAATACACTGATACACATCCTATCTTATGTGTTTTATTACTAACTAATACTTAATTAATTAAAGACAGATACACAAACAAAACATTTTACATCTCCTAAAACTCAACCTCAATATTTCCGCACCATTATTCCCTCACGATTTTGCTCTCTTCCTCATATCTGCCAAACTTATTTCGTATCTCTCAAAAATCAACCCAAAATCAACTCAAACAAAGTTTCGAAAGGATATGGAATTGACATTTTGAAAAACGTCCTTATTTTTAATATAATTTTAATGTTAAAATCGTAATCACATTTCATAATTATAATATATAAAAGTTTTTTAAGGAAAAATTCATCCGACAAAAACAACATTATAAATACTTATAAAGAATTCATCATTTTCAACTATTTATTTACCTATCTATAATTTTAGCAAAACGATAAATCTCATTTGCAAAGGCAAACAATAGATTATGTTCGTTTATTTCCAAATAATTGAAAAGGGAATGTCGGAGCCTAATCAAAATATTTTTGAATATTTGAATGAAGTTGTCACTTCTTGATAGGAATATTTACAATCTCATTGGTTTATTGTGTTCGAACACATGTGCAATTATTTTAAAGTACGTACTTTCATGTAATGTGATGATTTTTTTAAAAAAAATATAATTTAGCGCTTCGGGAGTACGTGTAATCAAGATTTAGGAAAGTCAACTTTTATTTAAACATAAAATTCATTTCCACCCTGTGGGGCGATACCTCCATGTGGTAGGTACCAATTTCTCTAAATCGAGAGAGTAATGAAGTAGTTTATGCAATGATAAAAAAATATAATCAATTTTAATGACTCGGTTGGTTATTTCACAGAGATATTTATGAACTAGAAGTACCTTTAAATATCATGCAATCATGAATTTGACTATGTGTTTGACCAGAATATTTTTAAGTGTTTGAGTAAAATTGACGTTTTGCCAAATGTGATAAGAAAAATTTTGTAATACTATTGATGTATTGAGCTCCAACCGATATGAATGTTTCTTATGAAAACGTCAAAACCAATATGAAAGGAAATCACTCTTGAATTATCATTACATAAATAAATAAATGAACTAATTCATCTATAATATTCATTATGTCCTTATTTTGTTATTTAGTATTTCATAATTTTTGTGGGGTTGTAATATGTTATTTCATTTTTCTAGGGTAAAATTTTGAAACTAAAGTAATTTT